TGTCCAATTCCAAGGATTTTGACCCCCCAGGGTCAAATCAAGAAGAATTGGGAATTGTGCTGATTGTGGCAGCCCTTCCCAGCTGCCACATCCAGAAATTCCAGGGCAAAGCTATTCCAGGTTCAAGCAGCTCCATCAGCCTCACCCGAGCTCTTGTTTTGTGTCTGAACACAGATTTTAAACAATTTCTTCCTTTTTTTTTTTTTTTTTTGCCAGACTTCCTGGCAGATTTCCAAAGGAATGCTCTGGGACAGCGCCTGCAATCCCAAAGCTGTCCCAAAGTGCCAGCGTTTGCTCCAGCGTTGTTTTCCAGGCGCTGAGAAGTGGCAAAAGCAGGAAAAATCAATAGTTACAATCCCAATGGCTCGGTTCTGCCGATGAGCCGTGTGCTCCCTGCTGAAAAACCCGGGAATTGCGAAGGAAAAGGGAAAAAAAATGGGAAGGAAAAGGGAAAAAATGGAAAGAAAAAGAAAAAAAGGGAAAAAAAAAGGGGGGAAAAAGGGGGAAAAAAGGGGACAAAGGAGAAAAAGGGAGGAAAAAAGGGGAAAAGGGAAAGAAAGAAGGGGGGGAAAGGAGCACAGAGCTCCCCTTGGTGCCATCTCCCATTTAACCTCCTGCACCCTGAATTCCCTTGGGAAGATCCAAGCACGCCCCTCCAGTTTGGAAGCTGAATTTAATCACCTTTTAATGGGAGAGAGGCCAAGGATTCCCAAGGCTTCCCAACGATTTGTTCCATAATCAGCTGGAATTGGTGCTGGAAAGGGCAAATGGAGCAATAATTCCTGGATGTGGAATTATTATTATTATTATTCCTGACACCCCCTTATCCCTCCATCCTCAGGCTGAATTAAGGTGATATTTAAAGTGACATTTAATTAAAGAGATATTTAATTTATAATTTAGTATATAAATCCCAGGTGGGAGAAGGTACTGATTCCATCTTTTCCATCCCTCCCACTCTCCTCACAGGGAGTTTCCCACTTTTTTTTACAGGAGCTTGGAATATTCCAGGCTGGCAGCTGGTTGTTTTGGGAAGGAATTGGAACTGTGGGGGATTCATTTTCAAAGAAGAAAATCCTAATTAAAAATATTTCCCGGATATTTTTTTTTTTTTTTTTTGGATGAGCCAACTCCTGGCATCAGGGCACGGATCCTGCTGAGGAATCCTATGGGATATTCCTGAAGAAGTCCTCAGTTTCCCTGATGGTCCCTCCCTGATTTTTCTCCCCAAAAGATTCCCAGTGGAAACTCCAGCTCCTTCCAGCACTCCCAGTTTTATTCCCCCCAAAAATGCCCAGGGGATGCTCCAGCTCCTGTCCTGCTGCTCTCTCCATGGAATTTTTTTCCCCCTGGAAGTTTTGCTGGTCTTTGCCTGGTTTTTTTCCCCCAAAAGATTCCCAGTGGAAGCTCCAGCTCTCTCTCCCCATTTCCCTGCTGCTCTTTCCTTGATTTCTTTTCCCCCAGAAGATTTCCAGCATTGGTTTCTCCCTATTTTTTCCCCCCCAAAAATTGCACGGTGGAATTTCCAGCTCTCCCAGTTTCCCTGATGGAAGCAGGAAGAATCCTGGAATGGTTTGGGTTGGAAGGAACCTTAAGGACCATCCCATTCCACCCAAGATTCCATGGATAGGGACAGCTCCTGCTATCCCAGGCTGCTCCAAGCTTGGACATTGCAGGGATGGGGCAGTCCCAGTTCCTCTGGGAAGCTCCAAAAGCATTTGGATCCTCTTCCCTCCCCACAAATCCATGGAAATCCAGCAGGATCCCTTCTGTTGCCCCAAAATCCCAGAGAACGCCCTGCCCCAGGCTCATCCTGCTGGGAACTGTCCCACCAACCATCCCAAAAAAACTCAGCTCCCTCCTCCGCCCTTATTTTGGATAAACCGAGCCAAGGAGGGGACAAATCCAAGGATAAATCCAAGGATGAAGCGTCTGGGAGTGGGAAAAGCCAAATAAAAGGCAAGGGAGCATCAAATCCACACGGGAGCAGCGGAGGGACGTCAAAGACCCCGCCTTTCATCCCGAATTTCCTCGATCCCGAGTTAATTCCTGCCAATCACCGGGCAGGCGAGAGAGGAGGCGTTAATTAAAACCTCATTAAGGCAAATTAATGGGGCTCCTGGAGCAGGAATGCGGGGGTTGGGAAGCGGGAAGGGTCCAGTTCTCTCTTCCCATGGGATATCCCTGATAAAATCCAGCTGGAAAAGCCAAATCCATTCATCCAAATCCACCCAATTTGCCCGGATTTTCCTCCTTCCTGAAACTGGGATGCGCTGGAAAAGTCGGGAATCTCCATCCCTGCATGAATGGTGTGTGCACACCCAGAAAATCCCGGGATAAACCTTTTGGAATTCACACACACCCCCCCAAAAAAACCAACCAAACAAAAAAACCCAACAACAACAACAACAACAAAACCCCCCAAAAAACCCCAAACACAAAAAAAAAAAAAAGGAAAAAAAAAAAAAAAAGCACCAGGGGGCTGTAAGAAAAAGCAATGCAAAAATCGAGATTTTTTATTATTCGGAAGTCCAAAATCGAAAATAGCTTTGAAATTCCGCAGGGAACGCCGGGAACACACGGAAAAGCCTCATATACAGAGACAGATAAATTAACTGGGAATTCTGCAGACAAGCCAGGGGCATGGAGAGATTCCATATGTACATTTTTATGGAAACCATTTATACACTTTATTACATTTACAAAAAAAAGCTGATTTTTTTTCCACTACTTGTTTTTGTTTTTTTTCCCTACGATAATGAAAAAAAAAATTACATTTTATTTTTTTATTTATTTTTTAGCTGTACAAACTTTTAATTAATAAAAATATATCTCTGTACAAAAGAGGGATTTGAGCTTTTTTTGTGTTTTTTTTAGTAATTTTTCTCATTTTTTCCCTTTTTTTCTTCTTTTTTTTCCCTTTTTTCTTCATTTTTTTCTCTTTTATTTTCATTTTTTTTTCCTTTTTTCCATATTTTTTTTACCATATGCAAGTCCTCTGGGCACAAGGATGGAGAATGGCATGGAGCAGATCCCAGCCAGCTCGCAAAAAATGGGATAAACCCCTTTTCCCACTACCTTGTCTCCCTGGGCAACAGCAGGAAAAGGGAATTCATGGATCCAAAGCAGCAAATTCCATTAAAGTAGTGCTCCCTCTTCTCCCTGCCTGGGTGGTTTTAAATATTTTGGATTTATTTTGCACTCCTGGACATGGATTTCTCCTGGATTTTCCATGGAATGAGAATTTCTCCTGATTTTTCCATGGAATGAGCGGGAGCCAGGTGTGGGAAGCCAACGTGCATCACCTGGAGGAGCCAGGGGAGGATTCCCTGGAATTTGGACAAGAACCTGGATAGATCCAAGCTCTGCTTCCAGATTTTTTGGAATTCCAGGATTGTTGGAATTTTGGGCCCTGGAATTGGGATGGGGACATGGCAGGGCAGGGGTTTGGGTTGGGCTGTGGCGTTTTTAGGGATAATTGAGCTTGGAAAAGATCAGGGAAGAGCCAGGAGAGCCCAGCTGGAGGCAGAGTGGGATCCAAGGGAAGAGGGGAATATTCCCTTGGAGTCCTGCTGGGATTGACACCATCCCAATCCATCTGCCCATGGAATTTCACCCTGGGATCCGCCCCAAATCCATGTGGGAACATTCCCCTGACCCCTGCCCATGCTGGATCGGGGCTCAGGCTCCGGCTCCTACTTCCCAGGGAGGAATCCGGGCACCTTGGTGGGATTTTTGGGAGCAGAAGTGGCATTTTTGGGAGTACAGGTGGTATTTTTTGGCAGGCTGGGAATTCTGCTCCCTGTGGGAGATGCAGGAGTAACAAAAATAAAATATTGATGTATTTACACCCAGAAAATCAAGGATAAACCAACAAAAATTCCCAAATTATCCCATGGTTTTCAGCAGGAAGATCTTTGGGGAGAAGAAGATCCATGCTGGAACGGGAGCATGGATGGAAACCCCCATTCCAAAGGGTTCATCCTGATTTTTCTTGGAGCCTCCTGGACTCAGTGACCTGGCAATGGCATTTCTGCCCTCCCTGATCCTAAAAAAAGTGACTCCAAGCAAACTTTGGATCACAAGGATCCAGAGCTTTCCCTGCTCCCACAAAATCCCAGGAAACCTTGGTGCCCCTGGGAAATAAAGGATACAGCTCAGGATGGGAATTAAAACTCCTCTGGCATTGCCCTTTGGAGGATCAGTCTGGAAAGGGCAAAGGATTTGGGAAGCTTTTGGGGGAATTAGTGTTGAGTTCTTTTCAGAGAGGATTTTTGTCCCTTTGGATATTCCTGTTCCTTGAGGAATCATCTGGCAGTGAATTCCTGATCAGGAATTTGGGCCCAGCTCAAATCAGGGGGAACATGGGGTAGGAAAAACCCAGCCAGGAATGCCCAAAGGAAAATCAGACACAGGGAAGAGGGGAAAAGCCTTGGGAAGCTTTTCCCAAGTTTTGGGATGGTCCCAAAGAGTTTGGAAAACTCTTCCTGGGGTAGAAAAATCCAAGAAATAACTCAGAAACCCAAATGCAGAAACCCCAAATCCTCATCTTGTCCCATCCAGGTGTTTTCTGTAAATCCAGCCAGGAATGCCCAAAGGAAAATCAAACACAGGGAAAGGGGAAAAGCTTCCCAAAGTTTGGAAAGCTCCCATTTGAAAACCCTTCCTCTGCTCAAGCCCTGGGGTAGAAAATCCAAAAATAACCCAGAAAACCAAACCCAGACACACAAATCCTCATCCTGTCCCATCCAGGTGTTTTCCACAAATCCAGCACCTTGTGCACAGCCTCTTTGTCGCCCAAGCTCTTCCCAAAGTTTGGGAAGCTCCTTCCAGGAGCAGCTCGGGAAAGCCTTCCCACCACCAGGCCTTCCCAAGGTCTGGGAGCAGGGCTGGAGCAGAACCTTTGGCTTGGAGATCCAGCAGGATGGAGGAGGTGGATCCAGCAGCCCCTCGGGAATTCCAGGGAGGTGCAGCAGCTTCCCCGCAGCCTCGGCAGGGGCGGGAGCAGGAGGTGGGGAGGGGATGGATGGATGGTGAGGTGGGACAGTCATCCACACTGGACACCGGCCACGGGAACCTGGGAAAGCAAGGAGCTGCTCAGGACACATGGGAATTCCGGGGGAGTGGCTTTGGTATCCTAAAATTGGAGTATTCCAGAGGGAATATTCCCTGCACTCTATGATCCCATGAGAACCCTTCCAGCTCCCCACGTTCCATGATCCCAAACCCTTCCAACTCCAATCACTCCATGATCCCAAACCCTTCCAACTCCCCACACTCCACGATCCCATGGGAACCCTTCCAACTCCCCACAATCCATAATCCCAAGAGAACCTTTCCAGTTCCCCATATTCCATGATCCTACGGAAACCCTTCCAACACCACACATTCCATAAGTCCATGAGAATTCTTCCAATGCCCCACATTCCACGATCCCATGAGAGCCCTTCCAGCTCCACATATTCCATGATTCCAACCCTTCCAACTCCCCACACTTCATGATCCCAAACCCTTCCAGCTCCCCACACTCCATGATCCCAAACCCTTCCAACTCCACACAATCCATGATCCCATGGAAACCCTTGCAATTCCCCACACACTCCACGATCCCAAACCCTTCCAACTCCAACCACTCCACAATCCCAAACCCTTCCAACTCCACTCACTCTATGATCCCAAACCTTCCAACTCCAATCACTCCATGATCCCAAACCCTTCCAACTCCGCATAATCCACTATCCCATGGGAACCCTTCCAATTCCACACACTCCATGATCCCAAACCCTTCCAGCTCCCCACACACTCCATGATCCCAAACCCTTCCAGCTCCCCACACACTCCACGATCCCAAACCCTTCCAACCCCACACACTCCACGATCCCAAATCCTTCCAACTCCAATCACCCCACGATCCCAAACCCTTCCAACTCCAATCACCCCACGATCCCAAACCCTTCCAACTCCAATCACTCCATGATCCCAAACCCTTCCAACTCCCCACACTCCACGATCCCATGGGAACCCTTCCAACTCCCCACAATCCATAATCCCAAGAGAACCTTTCCAGTTCCCCATATTCCATGATCCTACGGAAACCCTTCCAACACCACACATTCCATAAGTCCATGAGAATTCTTCCAATGCCCCACATTCCACGATCCCATGAGAACCCTTCCAGCTCCACATATTCCATGATTCCAACCCTTCCAACTCCCCACACTTCATGATCCCAAACCCTTCCAGCTCCCCACACTCCATGATCCCAAACCCTTCCAACTCCACACAATCCATGATCCCATGGAAACCCTTGCAATTCCCCACACACTCCATGATCCCAAACCCTTCCAACTCCA